CGTTTCAAGATGAGAAAGTAATAATGCGTCGGAAAACGGCGTATTTTCGGCTGAAAAATTCTTTCTGCCGTGCTCGGATAACGAAACAATATTTTCGAAAAACGGCAAAAAGTTCGAAACTACAAAATTGAAACAGAGATTTTGGTCTCAGATAGTCTGTTGTGAAAAAAACATCAGCTCCTTAAAATGGGTTATGTACAATGTTTTAAGTAGTCAAGTAGTTTTCGCGCAATTTGTGCTTTTTTGTGCTTGACATTTCAACAATTTCTAAAAGAAATCTCGAAAATTAATCTATTTTTTTCTTTGAATTCCCCCCCCCCACGGATGGAATAAAAGATGTTTAAAAGGCTGGCGCGGTTCTCGTTTTCGTTGAACTCTGAATTTTCGAAAAATTGAAAATTGATAAATGCGAGAAAGTATGTGATTTTGTAGTACCAATAGGTTTCTTAAGAATATAACATTAATTGTTTCTTTTTACCGCATACGGAACTATTCAATAACAAGAGGAAGATTCTAAAATGCGACGAAGCAGAATTATCAGTTGTCATAATTGAGGTATTCCCTCTCCCCACTGTCCCGGCAAAAATGTAATAGGGTGCTAAAAAAGATCTGTAGATTACTCTGTGAGAAAATTTTTTTGAGGACTTAAACATCAAAATTTTAGATTTTAATTCACTAGAACGTATTTTCGAAGTTACTTAACGATAAAGATGTTTAAAAATCCTGCCGAGTGTGTTGCGTGTTGCATTTAACATGAATATTTAGTTTTGTTCGACAGTACTAATCAGTGATTTTCCCCCTAATTTTAATAGTTATTCTGCTATTCAGGGTAAATATGAATAAAAAATAGATAATTGATTTGGGTTCAGCCTTTCTGCTGTAAATGCTGCCTAAATGCTGTAAAAAAGACTTTGATATGTACACTATCTTATTCGGCTTGTATCCAGCTGACCGCTGGTTACCCTTTACGTCCCGATGGGACGCATATTCGACCATCCACTAGACACCAACATACATTTTGGCTCGTATAATGTGGGGTCAACAGAACGCGAGGCCCTCCATGACAGTACATGAGAGACAAGGAACTAGCAACCGAGCCCAAAGCGGGCATAGAAACCGCCACCCTTCGGACCGAAGCGGGGAGCCGGTACACGCTCTTTTATCCACATCGGCCATCCAGGTCGTCATATGTAATAAGTTATAAATAATAATAATAATAATAATAATAATAATAATGTCAATGATATAATTAGAAACCACTTAAGAAAGAAGTGTACGTATATGGAAAGATAGTGAAGAAATGAACGAATATGTATGATTTGCAAGCCATTTCCCTCATTTGCGAGCCTAGCTGAAAATGCAAACGAGTGAATGAAAGGCGGGGTGGGGGACGGGGCGCCGGAAGCGCGTATCGGCGCTTGGTTTCCGCCCGCCCGTCCGATGGGAGCGGAGAGCGAGGTGAGAGCTCAGGTGCGCCATGGCAGCGTCGACGAGAGCTTCCTTGGAAGTGGCGGCGGTGGCGATTCTGGCCCTGGCTCTGGCCCTGACGCTGGCGGGAGCGGCGGCCCCGACCAAACAAGGCCACAGCCAGTGCAGCAAGTACCCTTCGTGGGAGGTGGCGAACATGCAGAAGATGCTGCGCAAGATGGCGCCCGCGCCGGTGGGCTACACCATCCGCTGCGGCGACGACGACAGAGACTGCCTCATCAACTCCTTGATTCACCTCCCCGGCGACCATGACGTAGCCTGCGAGCGGTTGGGCAGCCAATGCAAACAACAGGACGGGGTATGGCGCTAGCAACAGCAACCCGCCATCGCTATGGCTATGGCCGCGCTATTAAATGAGCTCCTTACAACATGACGAAATAACGGAAGTACCTTAAAATCAAGCTGGCGGAGATCACTTCCATTATTTCTTCATGTAATTACGTCCACAATGTCACAGCAGAATTCTCATAATCCCTACAGCAATAAAACGTTATTTCCGATTTGGAAATGTTGAGATAAGACATGTTGATACAAGGTTTAATTTATTTCGTGTTCACATCAACTGCCCTGATATTTAGACCCGTAAGTGTCTGATACGTTGCACATAACTCTTGAAGTGGCAGTCTTTGTCTCTCGCTTGTACGTGAAATGGGGTGACGTCATACACTTCGACGTGTGGGAGATTACGCCTCCTCGCATCTCCGCCTTAGCCGCGTCAACCTCTATGGTCTCCCGATATGAGTGGTAGTGTAGGTATTGTCAGTGTGGCCATAGCAAGTGGTTAGGGGGTTAAGGATGAGTAAGCAGGTAAGGGAAGATTGCGCGCCATCCTAAGACCCGATGGTTGAGTTACTGCCTCTGCACCTCCAGCATTCGCTTGGTATTAATCGGAGAAAACACGGAAAACTACCCCACAACGGATAGTTTACGGGTCGCAGCCGGAAAGAACCGACCACGGTCTCTTTAACAAACAGACGTTATTTCAAACATGAAAATATTGAGATAAACCGCGGTTTTGTTTAATTACTAGTATCTTACATACGATAATCGAATAACCGGATTGTATTCATGTGACCATCCCTTAGAAATAACACCATTTGAGCGAGTAAGATTCACCTAGGTCTGCTAGTGGGGAACTGACCTTTTTTTGTCGAATCCCCTTTCATTATTTTAAAGGAAATTTTAATATTTTTTGGAGGGTTCAGAATAATATTAATTTTGGTGAAGTTGAAGTTCTTACAGATGTGACGGACAGCATTATTTTAATTCGGATCTTCCTGGAACATTTTGAAATGAATGTAGAATAAATGCGTGGGAGTCTCAATGCAAGCACACTGGTAAATTTTGAATTACTTAACAGGATTAATAGAAATCATAATTTGATTTACCAAAACGACAATAATGAAACATATTGTAAAAATAAATTAAAGTGTTTCTATCGATTCTTGATCATAAACTTCTTTTTCCCGTGCGTAGATTAAAGAAAAAGCGAATCGAATCCATGAAGAAATATTTACCATAAAAATAAGAGATGTTTGTTTCTGAGAGTTCTCTAATCTTCCCTATCAATTTTTCATGTAAACATATCGAAATCTTCTATTCTTCCTCAAAAACCTTTTGCCCCAACGTACCACTATTTAATGATCGTTCATTTATTTGTTTATAAATTAACTAGGTGTATGTATATTATGATTATTATATGTATTATATTTATGATATGTATGATAATATATAGAATATATCTAAAATATATAGTATGTATATATAAATATATATAGTATATATAATATATATATTATAGTTATTATATATATATATACGATATTGAGTATATATATGAATTTCGGAATATTATATCTATGAGACTCTTATATATTATATATCGTTTAATAGTATGATATATTATAGTATATGAAATATTATATCGTATATCGATGTATATTAATAGTATGGTATCTAATATTTATAGTATATTCATGTATATTGAATATGTATTATATATAAATAATACTTATATATAATATTATATATGAGCTTAACATATATATTTATATGATGAGCATAATATATATATTTATTATATAGATTATATTATTATAAGTACTATATGTAGTTATATCATGTAATGATAATATTATATCATATATAATATATAACAACATTACACAATATATGGTAATATATAAAATTAAAGGTATAACTAAATGAATATTTTTTTTCGTTAATGGGATAATATTTTGGTACAGAACTAAATATGGCTAAGTGCAAAAGTGACAAATACGTTATACAAAAGGTGGTGATTTATATCATTGTTACGAGTGACAAGGATTAATGTATTTCCGGTTGGGTTACTAAAACAAAGGTAGGGACGAGTGTATAAAAATATCTAGAATACAGAAGATGTGTTGGGTGAGCTACGTTTTATTCAAATAAGCAATAATACGTTCGTAATGGTAACAAAGCGAGACGCATTAATTCATATTATTTTAAGTGTAAAATGCTTTCGGAATTTCCGCCCTCGAATGTTGAGCGGTGTCGACAGTGACCTGGGTCGAACGAAAGTGACGGTGTGGTTGCAGTGTGCCGGCATGGTGCGCGCCAGCCTCTACCACTGGCGCGCGGCGCGCCGGCTGGTGGGCGAGTGCGCGCCGCCTCCCCGCTGCAACGCCACCCACGTGCTGGTGCGGCCCCGGTGGTCGTCGCCCGCGGAGCAGTGCGTGCAGGCTGGCCAACTGCTGTGCGCGTGCGCCCGCCTGGATTGGCGGCCGCCGTTCAGGCCCTTCCCTGGCGTCGACTGCGTCTGCGACGGAGAGCCCACGCTGCAGCCCGCGCCCTTTGGCGGCTACGAGTGCGTGCGCAAGTGCCACGGCACGTGCTCGCCGCAGATCGGCCGCTCCAGGGGCACCTGCGCCTTCCCGCCGCTGGCCGTCGACGACTCCGCCGTCGTGTACGCTACCCACCAGTTCGAGCAGCCGAAGTTGGAAGTGACAGACGACAAAGGAGGCGCAATGAGACCGCCCCCCAAACCTACCGACAGCGACCTTCCGTTCTGGAAGTGAGCGGGGAGACGGCTCGTCCACCGTCGTCCGCCGTGGAACGCCTACGCGTCGCCCTAGGCGTCAGCCGCGCAGCGATTCTTCTAGTTTGTACATTGCGGAACATTCTTTTGTCTGCGTTACCCGGAAGATCGGAAAGTGTGGACAGTATTCCGTTTCTTTTAATCTCATGAAAAAATCGATGTGCACACACAATGAATGGCGATATACCCAGTTCCTTTCTCGTTGATTCTCGTTTGCGTCATGAACTAATTTTAGTTGTTGCATCTCTCGTATCATTATTGAAACTCCACGTTCGTAACAAGTATTTTGAAAACGATTTATTTTATATTGTTATATTTGTCAATTCTTCAATAACATTCATTTATTTGTTTTTATCTGATTTTGACTATAACTAGCGACTACGTTGAGCGAAAAATATATGATTACTTTAATAAGGAATTGTTTGTCCTAAAGTGCATAATTTTTCTTCCACGAATATTAGGTGTAGAGTTAATCCACTACAATGGATGGAATTTGTAAATAAAATACCTAGGGGATATCATATTAGTATTTACATGTTCCCTTACTTCTTTTTGAAAATCAGCCTTTGTTATTGTCAGTAACACAGCAAATACACCCCTTCCAAATTGTTTAATCTCAGTGTCCTGAATGTCTGACGGTACTGTATAATTAGACAATATTGTTTTTAGAATTCTATGAAAGGAAATGTTTTCATTTGTTTCATCAGTATTCGTAGCAAGATTTCTAATTTGAATGATTTAAATGCTGTTTGTTTTCCCGATGTTTTGCTCTTTCTGTATTGAATAAGAAATGCGGAATTTTATCTTCGTAAGTGCTTTGAATTGAACAATATTTATAAGTATTTGAATATCTGATTGAGTTAGTTGAAAATATTTTAAGGTATAGTGATAATAATTAGATTGGTTTTGATTTGCTAAGAATACGTGAATAAAATAATACGATTTAATGTCACTGACCCCGTTCATATTCAAAATCTTAATTCGTATTAACATAGTCATGAGATAAAAGTCGTCTTATGTTTCATGGACACAAGCAAATCAATGACGGGCCAAGATAACTAGTTGTCTAGAAAAATATGCGTCGTATGATCCTCTCTCCCTGATCACTCCATAGGAAATTAGAATGCAATTTATCGTTGTTTCGGAGGGCGTTGTGAAGGGAATGCATTTGAAAATGGTGTTGGGCGAGCTACCAGTGGGCAGGAAACGCAATTAAAAGTAATTGGCGATCGGAGGAAGCGGCTTGCGGCCGCACCTGTGCGACCTTCCGCCGCCGCCGCCGCCGCCGCCGCCGCCGTCGTCGTTAATGGCGCGATAAGAAGCGCGCTGTATTGGCGGCGCTGGCCACTCGTCGCTCGCCATGCCGCCCGCGCGCCCGCTGCTGCCCGCGCTGGCGCTCTGCCTCGCCGTGTGCCTCGCCCTCGACGTGGCCGCCGCGGCGCGGAGGGTGGAGCGGGTGGCCGACGTCCCGGAGCCCGTTCCCGCCGCCGCCCCCGCGCGCGACGTTCGCTTCGTGAGCCGCGTCAGCTGCCAGCACCGCTTGGGCGCGCAGTGCGTACGAGTGCAGGGCCCCCACAGCCTGCGCTCCCGACGCAGGACACCACGCCCTCGCCGTCGCCCGCGCCCGCACTCGCGCCCGCTCGCCTAGCACGCCAATCACACGGCGCCTCAGGTACACGGCACTCGGCTGGAAGTCACTCTGGATCAGTTGTACTCTTCGACTTTGGGGAATTTCATCTAGTGAACGTTCGGTACCAATTGGACAATTGGAATTTGGATAATTTTTATTCTGAACTTGGAATAAAAAATAATCTACTTATTATCTAAGGATTGTTGTAGTTTCTCACGAATTCACATTCAATCAGAATTTGATGTCGAATTTTAACGGGTTTACTTTCTGACAGAAGGGTTAGCTTAAAAATTACCAGTAATCACCGCAAGTTTACAAGTGATTCTTCAAATTATCAGTTTCAGATTTCAGTGTTTTTTTTGTTGTTGTTCAAAAAATAAGTGGAATTATCTTTTACGTAATATTGTGATTCAGGGTATTTGAAAGACTATTTAATTTTCGCTGCTTCCTAGCAAAGTCATTTGTTCATGGTTGATAGTCATACAACAATAAATATTTTCTTTGAAATAAAATATTTTTAAAAGTATATCATTGTATTATATTAATTGTGAATAACAGAAGAAATATGTTTTGTCAATTTAAAAGAGGAAAATCTGACCCGCCATTAGATGTCTTTGTGTATTCCAAAGATATTATCGTGCATCTGTCCTTAAACACTACTAAAAAAATGTATATCTTACCGTGACATTGGCTTTGAGTGTTTTGTATTTATTTTGCTGTATTATAATTTATTATAATCAAGAATATAGAACTTTTTTAAATTTTGATTTGTTTCTTACTTTTCTCATCCTTTGTTTTCATTGTCAATCTAAACACTTTCCTAACTTTTCATAATGAAATAGATTTGAATTCTTAGTTCTAATCTAGCTTGTTAATTTTAAATTAGTTAATATTGAACGTTTAATCCTATTCATTTGATTATATAAAACTGAAATTAATAATTTTTAATTTATTAAAAACTATTTGAAATGTTGTTTACTTGTTTCCATGATTATTGCAGAGTAAGATAATGATAGCATTTGTTGCAAAATACATTCTTAGCTTACTATCATTTCTGATTATTCTTGAAACTAACATGCTACTTCCTCCTTAGTGGAAATGTTTTGAAGAAAGTTTTATTTATTTTAATAATTGTATTTAAAAATTTACAACGTTTCTCTACCCAACATATATTCATGATAGGGTAACATTAGTTAGCTTTACTGCTCTGCTGCCCTATATTCAGATAGACATCAAAGTAACTAAAAACGGACAACTCTATCTCTCTACATCTTCGCCTTTCTCTCTCTTCAACTTTCCGTCTCTCATAATTTTCTCCATCAGGTAGACATACCTGAAGATGGAGAAGAACATTCTCCAAAACGTTGTGCAGTACAGTGAACTATATAGTGTATAACGAGTATATGTGAAGTTTAAATCAATGTTTACCATGTTCAATTAAACTGTTTTAAAATTAGTCTGGCTGTCAATCAAAATAAGGAACAAGAAAACCTCAAACGTAATAATTAATGAGAATCTTTGCAATTAAACTAATAAATCTTAAAGTTCATTGAATTTAATGAGATATCCAAAAAATAGCACCATTAATATTAACGAATTTAAAAATAGCGACTCAGTTAACGTAAACATACGTAGGTGTGGAAGATTACGTTGAGGATCTGACTAGTTACTATCCCTTATGTTTACCATGAGCTAATAAATGTAAAGTTATTACTAGTGATAACTCACCCCATCATGTTGTTTTGAAAAGTTCCTCAAGTGAGTACTCACCTGCGAAAAAGGAAATATATTAGTTTACTTAAAATACTTAACTATGCTTTGTAACAAATATTTTAAACATACAGAAAGTAGGATATATTATAGTAAAATTAAATGTAATTGAAATAATTACTACCATAATAATGCAATTACATATTGCAGAAATATGAGTGTTGTTGTGTTGTTAAACGTATATCAGTTATATTATCGTTGTAACTCGATTTCGTTTTGAGACATGTTATAGAGACCTATCGTTATAATTGTAAGTGATTAAAACTTTTTCTTCGGTGTTCATGAAATATTTGCAACAAAAAAAAAATTAAAATTATCGTGCAGTAATCGTATTAAAACTACAAATAAGCATTATAATCGAGAAGAAAATATTTCTAAGACCTATCTACAAGTATTTCGCCCATGTGTGTCTGGGTTCTTTAAATCCCTTTCTTTGGTAGAAATGTTCTCCTGAAAATTTGAACGTGAAATGTTGTTCAGACCAATGGCCAGTCAATCAATAGGCACATTTATTATTATTATTATTATTATTATTATTATTATTATTATTATTATTATTATTAATGTCGTTGTATCGGCCATTTGCGTCCATGCTACAAGATCTCCTTCGAGGCCCAGTCATATTCTATCCTGGAGAGAGACGTGTGTAATAATGGGGATCGACTTTTCTGCTGTATCCCTTCGCAAGACAAGGTCATTCAGTCTTGAATCATCAAGTGATAGGATGATGAGTGAAGGAACTATCACAAATACTATCATGCCTAAGCAGGACTTGAACCTGCAGCCTCCTCGACGCAGACGACGGTCGTAATATAATAATAATTATAATATAATAATAATAATAATGTTATAATAATATAATAATAATAAGAAGAATTATTATTATTAAAGGTATTGAAATAGCGGACATCAGATAAAATTCGTATTGTTCGTGTGTGCATGCATCCCAGTTGCAGTTCACGGACGTCTGAGCGAAGGCAGGCCTCCCTCTGTGGGACAGAGGACCTGGCGGCAGCGCTGGCCTGCGTCTCCGAGCCGGCGTTTCAGGAACTGTGGCGGTCGCCTCATTAGCCTCGTGGATTGATTTTAAATCGCTTATTAAAACGAAATTGGTTTCGCGGCGCTCTGGGGCGCCGAATTTCCGGCCCGCGACGACTCGTGGCCCACGGGGCGCTTTCGTTTGAAATCGCGCGTCGCCGTCGAACACGCTCCGTCGTGTGTGTTTCTGCTTCGCGTGCATTGTCTTAACAGCGCCGCGGAGATTAAGAAAGTTGGCCCGCCTAATCTCCGGCCGGCGGGCCGTCCGCGTGGCGGTGACGTGTTTTAAATTGGCTGCGCGAACTGGCTGCAACTCGTACAGCGGGCGAGCAATGGGTCCGATGGCAGCGCTCCCAACCTGACACGGTTGGACTGCAAGGCTTCTGTCATTGAGTTCCGATGGTTGATTCGGGGCGCGTCAACTGCTAAAGCTATTTGTCCCGCCAGTGTGGTGCACTGTTTTTGCTTGGGAGGTGGCGGTGTACTTTTTCTGCTGGATGGTGAGATCCGCCGCCGACCTACGGTCGGCTAGCCGGGTTTTCACCAACCAGCGATCTCCCACCAGCGGCCGCCGCCCCAGTCAGGACAAGGTCTAATCTCCCGACCGGTCTTCCGACGTGTATGGTAGTGTAGTTAATGTGAGTGTATGTGTGTGTAAGGAGTAGCAAAGTACAAGGAATGGGAAAGAAAGATCGTACGCGGTCCGTGGACCGATTGTGTGGGTACCGCTCCGGCATGCGCCTGGTATTGATCATAAGAAAACACGTTAAACTTCTCATCAGGGCAGCTGAACGCTACAATTTTTCTCAGGACAGTCACAACTCAACCTAGCTACTGTCCGGACCACCTGTGTAACCACCGTCTGGATTTGACCCTAGGACCTCCCGGTCAGAGGCATGCAGGGACGTTAGTCGATGCCCTGAGCCACCTCTCCCGGTGAGTTTTGTCGAGAAACGACGCTTCGCTTTCTAGAAACTGAGGTCCAACGCAGGTGGTTCCATTTGTTCTCGCCTTGGTTTCTTAGCATAAGCAACTGGCACTATTTCTTTTTTTTACTTTGA